CCAGCAGCAGCTGCAAAGACTCAAGGGCAGGAGCAGCAATGGAGGAGGCCAGGCATGAGGCAGCAGCACCAGGAGCTGACAGGAGCTGCCTGATCTGCCTGGGTGCCCTGGAGAGCCCTGCTGCCGTGGAGCCCTGCGGGCACATCTTCTGCCATGCCTGCATCCAGGGCCGGGCCGCTGCCACCTGCCCGCTGTGCCGGGAGCCCATCGGGGCCATCCGCCTGCTGCAGGGGCAGGACAATCCTGCTGGGGTGGCCCCACGTCGCCGCCGTCGCCACCTCCATCCCTTCGTGCTGCGCTGGCGGCAGGAGCAGCAGCGGCGGCAGGAGGAGCAGCAGCAGGGTCCTGGAGGTCGCCGTCGCCGGGAATTCTCCGACGGGGATAGGGAGCAGAGTCCCCCCCCCGTGCCCCGTGCGGAGGGAATTGGAAGAGCGGCCGCAGAGGGTGCGGGAGGAAGACCTGGCCTCGGGGGGCGCCGCCTCCCCTTCATCCCCTTTGAACCGGAGCCTCCATGGGATCTCTGAATTAAAACCCCACGAACCTCAGCTGGTTTCTTCTGCTCATTTGCTCCTTGCTGCAGGACTGGGGGAGTGGGAGCTGTGGGAGAGGGAAGGATACGGCTGTGGGAGAGGGTGGGATATGGCTGAAGAACCAGTAGAGAGGGAGGAATGTAGATGTTGGAACTGGGGGAGAGTGGCCCTTCCTGGTAGTTCTGTGTTGCTTTGCTCATCCCCATGGGGATGCAGCCAAGAAAGGGAAGATGAAAGGAAAAAGGCAAAGGCAAAGGGGAAAGGGAAAGGGACATGGGGAGGACCTCCGTGCTGACACAGCCCTGGCACAGCCGCCGGCCAAAAGGCACCTGCTTGTGCTGCCCGTGGGAGAAGCGGCCCCAGCCGGGCTGGGCCTCGTATTTAGGGGGTCTCCTCTGAAGAAGCCCAGAGCTGTTCCTGCCCCTCCCTGCAGGGGTTTCCCCAGGAGTGCCAACTTCCCACCCTGCTGCCTCCTCGCACATGCCCCTGGGCTGTGCCAGCCTGGAGACCGCGGGTAGGCTGTGCTTTGGGGCTGGAAGGGTTGTGCTCCCATCTGCTGCACTCCCAGGTTCCCTTTGGCCTGGAAGGGGTGGTTGCAGAGATATCCTGGGGCTGCCGTGTGCAGGAGTCCCAGGTGTGCACTGGCATTATCCTAGGGGATCCCGGTGGTGCTCAGGGTGTGGGTCCTGGGGATGTCACCGGAGATTCTCCAGTGGGGATAGGGAGCAGAATCCTCCCATGCCCCTATGTTGTGTGCGGAGAGCATTGGAAGAGCGGGACAGAGCAAACAGGAAGGTCCATTGCGGCCACAGAGGGTGTAGGAGGAAGAGCTGGGCTCAGGGGATGTGCGCTGCCTCTCCTTGATCCCATTTGAAGTCGTGCCTCCAGGGCCCCCCTGAAATGAAAGATGTGATGCTGACAGGGGCCTCGCCTGGTTTCCTCTGCCCGTTTACTCATTGCTGCAGGACTGGGGGAGCTGTGGGAGAGGGAAGGCTACAGCTGTGGGAACTTGAGAGAGAGAGTGGGATATGTCTGAAGAACTAGTAGAGAGGGAGGAATGTAGATGTTGGAACTGGAGGAGAGGACCCATCCCTAACAGCTTCTGTGCCACTTTGCTCATCTCTACAGGCATGGAAAGGGAAAAAGAAAGGGAAAAGGAAAAAGGAAAGGGAAATGGAAAGGGAAAGGGGAGAATTTTCTGGGACTCTTTGAGCAGATCCTGAAGGGGCTGGTGTCTGCTTTCCTGAGGACCATGGTCAGGAAAGAGTCTGACATGGAGGTTTGGGGCAGACCTTCCCCTCTCCTCTTGTGGTCCTGCACACCCCCGCACTGTGGAGGGCTGTTTTCCTGGGGGAAGCTCTCCAGGCTGGGGAGGCAGCCCTGGCACAGCCACCTACCAAAGGGCTTTCAGCAAATTCCCCCCCTCCTACAGCAAAGCATAACATGCACTGGCGCTGCAGCTCTATTGCTTGATGGTATTGGCTCATCCCCCCATGAGAGCCGAGTGTCAGCCCGCACTGAAGCCAGGGAGGGATTGAGAGGCTGAATCTGTAATGGATCCTTGCCAGCCCATCTGTGTTTATAGGCTGTGATCTGCTGCTTCTTGATTTTATTCCAGCCCCTTGATTGAATTTCTCACATGTAAGTGAGCCCCACGAGTCTGTCCTGGCCATATATAATGGATGGCGGTGGAGGAGAAGAACACGAACATGGCTCAATGTCCGTAACAGATGCCTGGGCAGTGGTACAGCAGGTCCCTCTGCTGAAGATCCCCCACCCACTGCCAGAACCTGCTCTCAGTGCCAGCCAATGCAAAAGGCTTCCTCTGTCCCCAGCCTCAGCCATTCTCCATTGGCCCAGGAGCAGGACAAGGCTTGGAGCCAAGTCACCGAGCCACTATCTCCAGGAACACTGCCAGTTCCACCCACTGAGCCCTGGTGCTGCCACTCGATGCCCCATCAAATATTAATACAACGCTCAATGCCTCTGTGCCCTGCCCCAGCGCTGCAGCCCTGGCCCCTGCCCTCTCCAGGGCTGCCCTACCACTCTGGCCTCCCCTCACGCCCCGTATTGCTCATTCTTCCACACACAGGGACTTTAGGGGTGCAGCTGCACCCACTTTTGGGTGTTCCTTGAGCAGGGCAGGGCAGGCAGGACCAGACCCCCTAACCTCGGCAGGGGTCCCCAGCGGCCAGCTCAGCCCCCCGCAGCAGGTAAGACCCCGCTGGGCTGGGGCAGCGGGCATGTCCCCAGAGAATGCCAGCCCATCACTCCAGAGAGAGGGAGGGCAGGCCGGGGGTATGGGAAGTCCAGAGAAGGGTTGGTGGCCATGAGGTGGCCCTGGGATCGGCCCTTGGCTGCAGGGGTGTTACAGTGCATCCCTGGGGGAAAGGGGGCCGCAGGGACTCCTCAGTTTCTTCTCTGAAGGAAGCAGACCCACCTGTGGGTCTCCCCCGGGGAGGGTTCCCTGCAAGAAGTGGGGTGATATGTTGAGTCACCCCTCAGCCAGTCAAGCCTGGGGGGCCCTGGGGATGTTGGGGCCCACGTCCCCTTGCTGCCCTCCCGCAGGAGGAGGCTCGTGTCTCTGTCCCCCGCAGCCGCTCGGCCCGGCGGATGGACCCCAGCAGGTCGGTGCCGGCGGAGCTGAAGTTTCGCAAGCCCTCTCAGCGGGCCAGGATCCCGGCGCCCTTCCTCGCCCACCCGGTAGGTCGCTGGTTCGGTCCGCGGGCCTCGGCTCGTCCTCTCGACCGCCGTTTAGCCCTTCGAGCCCCCCGTGACTCTAACCCGCGCAGGACGGGGTGGCTGGGCCGGCGGGACCCCCCGGGTCGGACCCCGCGGAGGCGGACGTGGACTCCCTTGTGCCCACGCACGACGAGCGGGGCCGGCTCATCCCTGAGTGGAAGCGGCAGGTGATGGTGCGGCGGCTGCGGGCCCGGCTGTGGGACGAGGCGGCGGGAGGGCAGGTAGGAGGGGCGCGGGGCGGGGAGGGGGCGCGGGCGGTCAGGGGTCGCTAACCTGGCGTCTCCGCAGGATGCAGCCGCCTGGAGCTTCTCGCCCTCCCACCAAGCCATGCTGGGCCCCTTCGGGGAGCTGCTGACCGAGGCGGACCTGCATCAGCTGGAGAGGGCGGTAGAGAGCCTGCGGCTGCGGCGACGCGGCGAGGTGTACCAGGGCGAGCTGCGGCGCTTGGCGCGGGAGCTACGCGCCCTCCTGCCCGCCCCGCTGCTCAGCATCTCCGTCCGCAGCCCCCCGCCCGCCCCCGGGCAGCCCCTGCCCCTCTGGTGCGGCCGCCTGGCCGGCGCCGTCAGCAGCCTGGCCGCGCTGCTGGGCCACGCCGAGGGGGTCTGGGGGTCCCGCGCTGTCGCCGCCGCCCCTGTCGCTGACCCCGCTCCCCTTGCCGCCGGCGTGCAGCCCCGGGAGCCGGCAGGCAGCCTGGCGCAGCGGGAGATCCGGCAATGTGGAGTCTGCGTCCGCAGCTTGCGCGGCGCCTTCGAGCCCGCCTGGGGGGCGGCGGGGGCCGCGCCGGCCGGGGGGGGCGAGGCGGAGGCCGCCAGCGACTCGGGCATCAGCTGCGAGGAGGCGTTTTCTGACGGCGGCGGCACGGGGCCGGGGCCGGGGCCGGGGCCGGGGCCGGGGCCGGGGTCGGTGTGCGGCAGCCTAAGGAAGGAACGGATCGTGATGCTCTTCCTGAGCCACTGGAGACGCTCCGCCTACGCGCCCCCCCGGCCCGCCGGGGACCCTCGGCAGACGGCGGGGAGTGGGGCGCGCGGGGCGGCCCGCTTGGAGCGGCAGCGGGCGGCCATTCAGAGGCTCCTGGGCTCCTGGCGGGACGCCGTCTGCCGCCGCCCCCCGCCGCCGCCCCCCGCCCGTGCCCTGCTGTCACCGGAGCAGTTCGTGGCGGCGGCGGGGGGCGGCCCAGCCGAGTACGAGAGTTTGTCGCTGGAGATGTTCATGCTGGGCTATTTCCGCATCTTGGAACAGGAGCTGCCCCCCGAGGAGCGCCGCGGCCGCCACCTGCTCTGCTTCGAGGTGTTCGAGCAGCTGGGCCGGCACGGCTGGCGGGCGGTGCGCGCCTTCCACCGCGCCGTCACCGACGAGATCGCGGCTGGGAGGCGCAGCTGGCGCGACGGCTTCGACGACATCAAGGCACGGTACTTCGGGTCCTCGCAGAGCCCGGCCCAGCGGCCGGGGGAGGCCGGGGAGGAGGGGGAGGAGATTTGCCGATACATCGATCGCAGCTTCGCCTTTTGGAAGGAGAAGGAGGCCGAGATCTTCAGCCTGGAGGAGTGATGGCGGCGGGCTGCGGAGTGCTGTGGAGGCCGCGGGATGCAATAAACACCTTCTCGGTTCTCTTCCAGCTGAGCGAGGTTTCCCGGGGCGATGGAGAAAGCTGCTGAGCGAGGGGGCTCGCCTCAGCATTTCGTTCCCCCCCTCCCCCGGGTCGGGTGTCTCGGTTCCCGGCTGCTGCCGCGTGTTTGCGGCCGTCGCGGAGTGAGATAAGGGCCTGGCTGCCCACGGAGTGCCCAGGCTGCGCCACACACTGCACCTGAAAGCCAAACCTCACAAGCTTTCTGTCCCGGGAAACAGGGTTGATGTCTCCTGGTCAGCCTCGGCCAGGCATTACTGGCTTGCCCCCCCCCCCAAACCCGATACAAATG